TTTCTCACAGATTTCTGCTCATTCTAAATCAGATACAGATAAAGTAGCACAGTAAAGATTACATTAATATGAATGCATTAGTGAGAGAGCGATTGCGTGTGTAGATTATTTCTACCTGGCAGCGTCTCTCTACTAGTAGTGAAGCTGTGGAATGTAGTTATTAAGAAATATATGCTTGAACTTTTCAGTTTCTAAGCTATTTTATTGAGAAATCACAGAACAATGCATTTCCGCACTGAATGATGTGTGCGTGATGTACGAGCTACTGTCTGAAGCCTATGTGTGTGCGTTACAGTGCAGCAGCGCATTAGATTAGAACGGCGATTAACTTACCTGTACAATAAGCTGTTTAAAATGTGCATGCTCCAGTTCAATTTCGAGCATCCAGTAATATAATCACACATGTCTTGTGGAGCGCTTTCAGAGTATGCATTTATTTGTCATTTGAACTGTTTGGAAACGGAGCGTAAATGTGTCCTTCAAAGATTTCTTATCCTGTTGCGCCCTCTATAGGACCAGCGACTAGTCTACGTTAAGCTTAAAGCGTCATGGCAGAGCATTGAAGTCGACTAGTTGGTGCAACCCCTAATGTGAACATAAACTATCTGCAAATTTGTGAAGCCGACAATGCACAATAAATAAAGTCTATAAAAATAAAAAAAGTCAGCAATTGCCTAAACGCATTGTCAGGAATTCAAATGTTATTCTGTTATGGCTCTACGGGTCATGAAGTAACACATTTGCATAATGTCTGCCCACGGTCTACGTCGCCAACTTGCCCGCCCACAAATAGTAAAATTTCCGTGTGGTAAACATCATGTCGAGAAGACGCTGTATCCTACGCTGTGAGAGTAAATTTTGTCCTGCTCCAGTCGTGCTTGCCAATCAGTCTCTTGTCGATCAGCCAGTTCAACCGTTTCATCATCAGACTCTGGCTCGAATTGGTAAGGTACAATCGATACCATCGTTTCTATATATTGACAAGTCTCCAGGGCTGTCATTCCGTCATGGCAATGGGCGTCTCGTTTCTGACACGCGCTGAAAGCGGTAGACCAATCCAGAGCCAATCTCGCTACGGCTCTGGACCAATCACAAAGGACTGCGCCATCTGACCAATCACAGCAGTGAGGGCTCACGGAAAGGAGGGGTTTAGAGAGACTGATTCTTTGAACTGCTTTGCACGAGTCGTTTACGAATCATTTAGAAATTAGGTAAAATTAAATACATTTTTTTTGAGAAAACTAACGTGTTTTTTGACCTTGCATGTATGCAAACCTGTTTTAGCAGACTCGTAAAACAATATTAGCAACCTTAAAAAGGGCATAATAGGGGCACTTTAAAACTACAGGCCTACATTTAAAACCACTCTGATTCTGAGTCATTCATTCAACTGGTGCGTTACAACTTTTAAAACTGTACTTGCAGATAATATAATATTGATGAAATAAAAGGCTACATAAGTGTACTTGGAGCACAGATTCATGACTTTGTTTCTTAATACATATAAGTACACTTAAGACTTTAAAGAACATATTACATCATGTTTAAATTAGGGCTGTCAATCGATTACATTTTTTAATCTAATTAATTAAATGATGCTGCGATTTAATCAAATTAATCGCAAACTAAATTTGGCTGTGAAAATACCCACAAAAGATTATTTAAAGCTATTATTGTGTTAAATGAGAAAGTAGCAAGTAGACATTACAAACAGTAGCTTTAGAAAGAAATATTTTATTTGATTCAACATAAAATTTATTACACAAATGTTTAGGCTACAACAGCCTAACGTAAACTATGGAACATAAAAGAAGATAATTTGATAAACATCTCAGTATTTTTTGTTCATGCAATGAAAGTCACTGGTAACCAAAACAGCTTTGTTACCAACAGTCTTCAAAATAACTTCTTTTATGTTGCGCAAAAGAAAGTAAGTCATTCAGGTTTGAAACAACATGAGGGTGAGTGAATGATGACAGATTAAAAAAATAATAATAATAAAATTGGTGAACTATCCCTTTAATGTTATTATTATTTTTTTTTTATAGCCCAAATGAAATGATACTCTAAAGAAGAAACTAAAACTGTCAGCAGGTGGTGGTAAATGTCTTTGAGTCATTCATTCATTCATTCGTTCGATTCGTTCAAACGGCTGATTCATTCAGGAATGAAGTAAACAGCTCTCTCTATGAATGGGCCATTGGATCATTGGTTCACACGATTCGTTCAAAAAGAGGATTCATTCAGAAACTAAACACTGCTATTGTTCACAGACGCAGAACAGTTATGCAGTGGCCTTATAGGTAATATTTTCGTTGGCAAAAATGAGCAAAAACACACAATATTGTGTTTAAAATATAACACGATGTTAACGTCTTATTTACTTTTACATTTAGTCATTTTGCAGACGCTTTTATCCAAAGCAACTTACAATTGGGGAATACATAAAGTGATTCTTCTTAAAGAGGCAAACAGACACAGGAAGTGCTTGTAATATCAAGTTTTAGGCATTGTTCAAATAAGTACAAGCTAGAAAGGGAGGGCATCTCTGTGTGTGACGTGATAATGCCACGCATTATCTTCACAACACACCTCACATAATACACCTACAGGAAATATGCCCGTCATTATACTCAGGCATTGTTATAGATTATCTGAACAAAATTAGATGTCAGGTGCTCCCTCCTGCCTGTGAGTGAATAAGCAGAGTTACCTTGTTGAGCTTACAATGCTTTTTCCCCTTATTATTAGATCACTGTGTTCTTATAGTCATGTTAGTCAGTTAGTGTTCTTATAGTCTTATAGTCACATCTTATCTAGTTGCTTTTATCTATTTAAAAAAAACATTTTCGTTATTCACAGCATTAGGATCCAAGGTAATGTTCTCATTCATCAATATTAATACATGTCAAATATGTCATTATTATCATTTATGTCACACTTACAGTAAAGCTAACTTGACAGCTGAGTGCATAGAGACGGGTAATAATGCTGACGCATTTGATTAGAAAGAAGATTGATGGTAAGTAAGCTGTGAAATACTGCTCCTTTTTATTATTATTACCACATTATTTAAATAAGTAGAAGAAACATAGACATAGAAGACCGCATGTATGAGAAATTGATCAAATCTGATCAGAAATCAGAGGTGATTTAGCAATTACTTTTTGTGGATAGATATTATTCAAAAATAGTATTCAAAAATAGGTAAACAAATGCACAAAAAGGTTTATAAATAGTAGAAATGGGTCATAAAAGCTCTCTATTCAGTTGCGTATGTGATTAGAAAGGTTAATAATGTTGAGTCTGTGATGATCTAATGATCTTTAATCACTAGATGGATTATACAATACATGTGATATATTCTTTCATAAAAACTAGCAGATGGTATTAATGTGTGTAATAATTTCATCTTATGTTATGTTATGTTATGTCATGTTATGCTTCACTGAAGAAAGAATCAGGTTTGGACCGATAACTATTACTATTATTATTAATATTATAATACATTAATTTTTTTATGGTTCTTATTATTAATATTAAACCGGTTGTTCCAAACCAATATGACTCTTTCTTTCTAAATAAATAAATAACGAAAATAAATAAATAAAAATAAATAAATAAATATTCTGTGGAATATAGTAATAATAATAATAATAATTATTATTATTGTTTAACAGGTTGTTCTAAACCTGTAAGACTTACTTTCTTCTGTTGAACCCAAAATAATATTTAGATTTTTTTTGTCCTTGCAATGAAGGTCCACTGTTATTTTAGACACCCAGAGCTGCTGATGCCAGTGTGTAGTGGTCCGAGCATCATCAGAAAATGATTTCACCAGCCTTACTAATGACATGTCGTCGCCGAAGTGGTCTCGACTCGCACATCTCTGCAGGGCGTTTGTGCCCTGGGTAAATATTTGCGCCGGCGTCGTTTTCTGCAAGCGAAAACAAAGCCTGGTGTCTCTCAAACAGGCTCTGTGTTGCAGGGTGGAGTCCCGACAGCCACCAACTTGTGGTCACCAAGGCATGATTTCCTACGACTGATTTGGACTTGAAAACACTTTATTTGGCCTTATTTCTAGAAGGCCATAATTTCTCTAAAGAACACAAGCAGCATCTAATCTAGACTCTTCTGCGCAGCGTAACATGAAGAGGAACGGCAGTCGAGGCTGTGTGACGCGGAAGACGCGCTTCGGCTCTCGAGAGCGAGACTGGTTGAAGGGCGATGCTCAGCGAGGCTGCGTGTGTCTCTATGGGGCCTCGGAGCCTCAGCCTCCAGCCTCGGGCCCCCAGACCTCCACCAGCACACAGCCGGACCTGAAGCTGGTGCTCTGCTCCACCAAAACCACCGCCGAGGAGCTGTGCGCTCAGAGAGAAGTGCAGGGCCTCTACCTGCAGCTGCATGGAGACTTAATCAGGTAACGCAGAGATAGATGCTCAGTCACCCAGCTGTAATTTTCTGGCTAGACCAGGTCTTGTTTTGATAATAATCATTATCAGACTCGCGCTGTGGAGCAGTCGGGCCGAACACACACACACACACGCAGGTCAGGGTGTTTATAAGAAATGATAAGGTGAATATCAGACGCTTATTGGTTATAAATGACTGGTTATGTGAGTTGCAGGGTTGGTCCTTCATTTGCACCTCATGACATGTGACCCTGGACCACAAACCCAGTCATAAGGGTCAATTTTGTGAAATTGAGATTTATACATGATCTGAAAGCTGAGTAAATAAGCTTTCAATTAATGTATGGTTTGTTAGAATAGGACAATATTTGGCCGAGATACAACTATTTGAAAATCTGGAATCTGAGGGTGCAAAAAAATCGAAATATTGAGAAAATCGCCTTTAAAGTTGTCCAAATGAAGTTCTTAGCAATGCATATTACTAATCAAAAATTAAGTTTTGATATATTTACGGTAGGAAATTTACAAAATATCTTCATGGAACATGATCTTTACTTAATATCCTAATGATTTTTGGCATAAAAGAAAAATGGATTATTTTGACTCATACAATGTATTGTTGGCTATTGCTACAAATATACCCCAGCGACTTAAGACTGGTTTTATGGTCCAGGGTCACATATTTTGAATGTTAATGATCCTCCAGGATATCGTCATCATGACCATGTTTGTCATATCTCAGGGTTCGACAGTAAGGATGGCCGGAAGGCCCGGCGGGAGTTTGAGAAGTGCACTTAATTGTGTTGAACATGCATTTGCAGTGTACTTCAAATCAAAGTATATTTTTAACAAGCTGCTTTTGCAGGTAATGTAATATATATGACAAAAAAGACCACTTGAGTGTACTTAAAAAATACACTTTCATGACTTAAGCGTTGCTTAACATGCTTAAGTGCACTTTTAAAAAGTGCACTTTGTAATCATGTCAAATTAAAAGTTTTACTTTAAAGTACATTTCTTTACAAGTCGTTGTTTTAACATTTTTTTGTTATGCTTTAAACTTATTCCGATGTGTTTACTAACATACTAAAGCACTAAAGCTAAAATGTGATTCTTTATGCATGCATGTATTTATTTTTATTTATTTATTAATTATAATTTTTTTTACATTTATTTTTTAACTCCAGGTTTGCTATACTTTTTTGTAGGGCTGCACAATTTGGCTATTTGGTGAATTAGATATCAATATGTGATTATTTTTAATTTTAAGTCTAAAACATTTTTTTAATAAAAAAATTATTTACGAATTATTTCAGCGTAAATGCTTTTTTTAAATCAAGCATTTAAAAATGTCTTATTTTTACAGTGCAACTGTAATGCTGTCTTAATTTCTTCACTTTCAAACGTTTTCGAAACAAATGATGACAGAATTTTAATTTGAGTGACCTGTCCCTTTAAAATCACGACTTCCAGATTTGGAAAAAATCCACATTTTGAAAACCGTATGAACATTAGTAATAGTGTCTTAGCAACCACTAATGATAAGTGCACAAGAGCAAAACACCAGAATATGCAGGCGTTTGCAACACTCCCTGTGCTCTCAAGGCGGGTTTGTGCTTTCCTCTGTGGGTGGGTGTGTGTGTGTGTGTGTGTGTGTGTCTAGTGTCCACCGTCTGCAGTGTCTGTGGTGGTTTTGAAGGTGTGTCTGACAAAGAGAGAGTAGCAAGTCATGCTTTCCCCTCTCTCTGCCCTTCTGGGAATTACTGGGCTGTGGCTGAGATGGCTGAAATCACATTTTGCAAGAAGCAGTCCAGCCCTGAGCCGAGGTAAAGCCAGGCGGCTAAGCTGAATTAGCTGTGAGGAGGCTGCACATTAGAGCAGCTCACAGGGACATCTGCTGGTGTGTGTGTGCGCGCGCTTTCTATCCTCGTCTACTATTTATTTCACTTCAGATAAGGAGCAAGAAACCATTCAATCCCTAAAGTGTCCTTGTCAGTTGCACTTTGCCTCTCAAAGCAAAGAGCAAAGCTGGGGCGACTGCAGAGTCGGGCTGCATGATTAGTCAAAATAAAAACAAAAGCACATTATGGCTTAATGCAATTATCAAATGCACTGCGTGTTTCAGAGTGAAGCGCAGCACTGTGTTCGTTTACACGTGAGCAGCTCATTATCCGCCAGTGTTTTCAGCATCTCAGTGCGGCTTGGTTGTTTCAGAGTAAATGTCTGCTCTGAGTTTGAGTAGCATTAAAGGGGTGGTTGACTGTTTTTTTTTTTTCTTCTTTCTTTCTAGCCTTGATTGTGTTTATGGGGTGCAGTCTAACATGTATTAATACTTGGTTTTTAATTTACCTCACCGCTCTGTCCCTTCTCCGATGAACGCTCCAATGATTTCCAGTTTTTATGAAGCCCCTCCCTCAGAAATAGGCGATGGGCTCTGATTGGTTCGCTGGTCCAGTGTGCTGTGATTGGCTAAACCGCCTCTAGTGCATGTCTAAACGTCCCGCCCCTCACCTCAGAATGCGCTCCGATTGTATTGTAAACAATGACGTCGTCAATATCGCTTATCAGTTTGAGCCCGATTGAGACCCAGAGGATATTAGTGAAGAGGATTGCGCAGAACCTGGTGTTCTTAACGCGGCTCTTAATGGTATGCTTTTTGTTTGTTGTCGTCTCATACTTTTAGATACGCTATTATTTGTAAATGCTAGTGCTTTTGTTAGCTTATAATATATGGTTTTATCCTGATTTAAGCTGCAATACATGTAGCATTTTTGTAAAGTAATTGTTTACTTTGTAACAGGAAGAAGTGTTTGCCTGCAAGTATTGCTCAATACCATGGCAACCGCATGCACATCCACGTTTAACACTTCTCGTAGCTATGTGAAAAATATCTGTCGGTCTATACACATAAAGTGTGTAATTGGAACACAGTTTATCGGAGCTGATGATCAGGAGAGAGAGAGAGAGATGCAGAGCAGGGGGACGTGTGGAACAGGATTGAAGAACCGTTGCTTTATAACATTGATTGTGAAACGTGTGAATCCATTAGAATCGTTAGAAGACAGAATCGCGATTCATATATGAATATATTTTTTCGTGCACCCCTAATTTTGACGGCATGGCAATAACTCTTCCTCTTCTCTGAAGCAGTGCAAAATGGCCCCGCCCCTTTTGTTTCATGTTCCCGGGGGTGGGGTTTATGTAAATTTATGGGTTTGTGATGTCACAAACCCGGGAAGTAGCTTGTTGTAGTCCCTACCAGCCGTATTTGTAGGCATTGTGCCATAATAAAAAAAAACTATATTTCTGTTTGCATTGAACTTTTAAGCATCGTATATTGTTTATGCTCAAACAGCAACATTACACACTAACTAAGGTTAAAAAAGTGAAATCACAATCAACCACCCCTTTAATGTGCATTTGGGTATTTAGCATGCACTAACCATCTTCCCATACTTTTAACGAGAAGCGCTCATCAACAAAAGAGAAGCTTTGAGGGCAAAATAAAAGTTCAGTGGTTTAACGTTTGAAATGGAAGAAATTAAGACATCATAAATATTAGTATTGTGATATTTATAGTTTCAATGTGAAATAAAATTATTATTATAATTTTTTAGTTTTTTTTTTTTTAAATACCCATTTTTATTTTACAGCAACATTACAACAGTATTTATTATTTGTTTTATTTAGTAATTTTTCTATCTGTATAAATTAAAATATATTGTTTATTATTATTATTATACATGTTGTTATTATTATTTTGTTGTATTATGTATCTTAAAAACTTTTTCAAGAAATTACAAAAATATTTCTCATTTTGTTTCTTTTTCTATTATTATTATTATTATTATTATTATTATACTGTCTATTATTTATGCAAAATTACAATCTATTATTTTTTATTTATTTTGAGTAATAATAATAATAATATTATTATTATTATTAAATACAGATTTATTTTCTTTTACAGCAAAATTACAAAATTAAAATAATGTCTTATTTTTGTTTTTATTTAGTATTTGTTATATTTTTATGTATTTAATTTATTTATTATTATTATTAATAATAATAATAATAATAATTGTGCAGCCCTACAAACACAGCAAAGCACAGCAAATCTTAAATTGCAATTTCAGTTTTTATTGGAAAATTGCAATTCGATTTTTTTTACCCCCTAAATCCTGCAGCCCTACAGCAAATCTCCGTCTGCTGAATTGGGCTTCTGCTGTGAAGGTGCGGTGCGGCCGACCCCTGCTCCACTTCACCACGAGGACACCTGACAGGTCTGCATGAGCATGTGATCGAAGCAGCTGCCAGGCTGTGGGTCACGGATTGCAGCGTTCACCGGCCTATCTGCTTCAGAGCGCCGCGAGGATCCGTTAACAGGATTAGAGCGGTGGAATGAGATGACTATTTAATCAGGGAGAGAAAGACGGCGGCGCTACATGAGGTGGACGATTATGAGGCCAGACAGTTTTAATAAAAAGCAGGATGCCATCACGTCACGAACAGATGATCGAGTCCGATCAACAGACTGATTATTTGCTTTGTTTAAAGGGAATATTGTCAGACGTCATGAGCTCGGTGTGCTTTTGCTTTCAGCGCTTTAATGAATGTTGAGATATTGAGTTGGACGAGACTTGATCCCTGTGGCTTGGGATATATTATCTGTCTGGCGTGCTGGGAAAACACCCAACTCTGAGGGAGAGACACTGCTGGAGGATGTTAGGACAGAGTCTGATCTTAAATCGAAACACCTGTGTGTTGTCACGCTTGTTCAGAGCTGGGATACGTGCGTAGGGTCGTGTGTATGGAAGAAAAATAATGACAAATGTCTTTGAAACAAAAAAGCATGTTGAATTGCACTAACTGAAAAAATAATGCAATGCATTAAATTTTGCAAAATTAGATTAAATTTTTTTTATTTTTTTTTTATAATTTCACCTAAAGATTACACTTTCTCTTCCAGGAAAATTGACCAAAACTATTAATGACTTATTGTTTGTGTACAAATACATTATGGGGACCAAATGTCCCCCCAAGTAAGTAATACTAGTAAATTTTGGCCCTTGAGGAAACGGATTGTAAGTACATTGCGAGGGCACATTCAATACTTTTAAGTGTATTTCACAAGGGTTTCATGAGGATTGGTAGCTGAAATTGAAAAATTAATGGCAGTATTTATTTATGAAATGTCATTAGAAATCTGATAGTTCCCTGATTGCTCAATAATGTGCCCCAGTCAGTCAAAAATATACCGTTATTTGGTACAAACAAACACACATGGCAATAAGTAAGGAATATTTCCTGTTCATATAATCTTTCATCTTCCGAAGACATTTAGAAATTTCTTAAAGGAATAGTTCACCCAAGAATGAAAATTTGCTGAAAATTTCCTCACCCTCAGGCCATCCAAGATGTAGAGTTTTTTTTTTCTTCATCAGATTTTGAGAAATTTATCATTTCATCACTTGCTCACCGATGTATCCTCTGCAGTGAATGGGTGCCGTCAGAATGAGAGTCCAAACAGCTGATAAACCAAGATGTAGAGTTTTTTTTTTCTTCATCAGATTTTGAGAAATTTATAATTTCATCACTTGCTCACCGATGTATCCTCTGCAGTGAATGGGTGCCGTCAGAATGAGAGTCCAAACAGCTGATAAAAACATCACAATAATCCACAAGTAATCCACACCGCTCCAGTCCAGCTGCGTGTTTGTAAGAAACAAAACCAATAAGACGTTTTTAACTTCTT